CAGCAAGCTGACTGCCCAAGCAGGATTTCCTAGGCAATCATCTAGAATCCAAGGCTGAATCCATTAATTAGGAGGTTTGGCAGATTTGCTTAATTTGAGTTGACCCAAGTGTGAAAAAACTCAAGGAGTTCGGCGGGATTTGAACCCGCGTATTAGGGTAGGCCTTTTTTACAATTGGGTCAACTTAAACTAAGCAAATCTGCCACACCTCCTAATAATTACGTCAGCCTAGTAGTCATTCTGGTGCATTCTAAGCGATTGCTTAGGAAATCCTGCTTAGCAGTCAGCTTGCTGTTCCGTAGTGGTGGATACATATGAGCGGTAAAGTTGGTCGGGTAAAAGACGACCTAAGTGTGACTAAATTCATGGCGCGAGGTGGGGCCTTTGCAGCTTAGCGGTTAGAGCGTTGGCTTCCGGTCAAGGCCTTATGTAATACGCGGGTTAAAATCCCGCTGTACGCCTCGAAATTACCTATGCAAAATTTAACAAAATTGACTAAACTGTAAAGTAAAATATATCAAAAAAGAATAAAAATTAACTTATAAACTAAATATTCAATTTAAAGCTGAATTAAAGAAAAACTGCCGGTCCTGTAAGACCGGTTTATGGGACTAGGCATATTTAAGTTGGTAAAAGAATTTTGTTACCGAAAACGCTTTCGGGTGTTTTGTACCACGTTCAAACAATTGACGGTTTCCTTAGAAAATGCTCGCCATGAACTTGACCTCGTCACCATTCAGTTTAAAGGGCAAAGGTAACTTATTTAGGCCCACTCATATACCATTAATCCCAGTATTTTTTCCTGCAAAATTGGTGGTTATGGAAATTTGGGGGGTGGGGAAATACGATAAGCAGAAAAGGAAGTTTGTTTGGACGAAATTGTAAAGTGAAGAAAATGTAGTCGAAATTGCTTCCCGCGGCCGCTTTGAGTAAGTTGCTCCGCATGTAAGATGAATGTGAGCGCGGCGCTTCGCGCCATGGACTATACTTATCTAACTCGAGAACGGTAAGTTGGACCTCAAGTAAATTGAAATAGACGACCTCCTAAT